AGGTTGTCGATCAGGTCGTCCGTGCGTAGGATTGGGTAGCGCGATTTTATCGTTACCCGATTAAGGGCACGATAGTCCGTACACATGCGAAGTCCGCCCTCCTTTTTTGGCGTGAACAGGATTGGTGCTGCGAATGGTGACGTGCTCGGCCGAATGAATCCTTTCGCCAGCAGGTAGTCCAGCTGGTTTCGTAACTCTCGTAGCTCCAATTGAGTCAGGCGCCACTGCGTGCGTACAGTAGGCTGCGCGCCGGGCTCCAACTCGATTTTGTGGTCCTGGGGTCGTTCGGGTGGCAGTCCACTTGGCAAGTCATACGGGAAAATCTATGGATATTCCCGAATTATTTTTGCCAAGTCATCCGGGACCGAAGCGCAGAGTTTGTTGATGTCGGTCGCCTCGTTTTGCTCCGTCGATTCGGTTAGATGGACGGCATATAAATCCGCTCCATTCTTGACCGCTCGGTTGAGGCACACCGCGTTGACTCATGTCGATGTTGTCTCTGCTTCCGGCCACGTGGGTAATTTTCGCCAGCCTTTGTCGCACTTTACTATGCACTCGCCTGTTGTCCAATCGATCTGCGAGTTGAATTGTCGCAACCAATCGCGTTCCAATAGCACGTCGTAGCCATCGAGCGTTGTCGCCAACATCGGCGCACTGAAACCAAAATCTTCGCCACACTTCATTCGGACGACAGGTACTTTGTCGCGTATCGCCAGCGGGGTGCTGTCCACCAATCGTGCGTCGATTTCGGGCAGACACCTCTCCAGCGTCAGGTGTAGTCGTCGTGCTGTCTCTCGATTTATCAGACTGTGACTCGCACCTCCGTCGATGAATATTTTTATTTTCCTTCCGTTGAGTCGTCCCTTCACCAGTACAGGGTGGTCCACTGGGTCATCCCCCTTATTTAGCCGGGAGCGGTTGATAGCATGTATCGGAACCACTACCCGGTGGGGATGGTGTTTTTTGGGCGATGAGGCAGGGTCAGTAGGGGGCCCGACCGCTACTGATGCTTGGCGTTTCCCGACCTGCCTTCGTCGTCCTTCTTTATCTGCTTCTTTCGGGGGCAATCGTGAGATTGGTGACCCGGCTGGTGGCAGTTGAAACATTGTCCCTTGCGAAAATCTTCCATGTGCTCCTTCGCCACTACGCCGTGAATCGTGGGCCGTGGATTCTGGCCACGAAAACGATTTCCCTCCCGGGAACCCGCTCTCGCATACGTCCGATCTGCGTCGAAGTTGTCTGCGATCCGGACGGTTTCGTGAAACGTCGCCGGTAGTCGCAGCCGGACCTCGCATTTAATGACCTACTTCAAACCTGAAATGAATCGAGCTTTCTTCTCGGAGTCATGCATGTCGGTGATTTGATCGCATAACGCCATGAAGACCGACGCGTAATCCTGGACAGAACTCCACTGGCGCCAGTTGTCCAGCTTCGTGCGCGCGTTGTCCGAGGCGGATATTGGCCCGAACCGTTCAAGCAGAGCTGTACCCCACGCCTTCCACGTGCGAATCTTGGTCGATCCAAAAATCGCTGTTGACCCTTGGCCAGCAGACCCCAAGTTTCTGAAAAGCCCCTGTGTGTCGCCTGCCGAAAACTCCCCCTCCTGTAGAGTATATCACCACCAATCGAGCGCAGGTCCCCGCAGTAGTGATACAGCCAGTCAAATTTTTAAATCGTCAGCAGTGATCCCAGTGGCGTTGAAATAATGTTCCGCCGAAAATAACTAGCCCGTAACAATAGTATTCTTATTTGTGGGGTTGAATGGGGGCGGCATTGTCGGTTTGATCGTCGCTGTCGTCACGTTCGGCATAAACGCCGGGGCGGTTACAGTAGCGGCTGCTTCTGACCGAGTGGCTGCTGCTGCTGCTGCTGCTTCGGCTGATGCTCGTGCTGCCACGTCAGCTGCTGCGGCAGCTTCACTGTCCTTGCGCTCCTGTGACACCTCACGTGCGATTTCGTCCAAGACGGTTTCGACACGTCCGGTGCTGGCGACCTCTTCTTGGGCGGCAGTTTTCTGACGCGAATCCTTCGCGCCTGGCGTAACTCAGCAACTTCCGCACGAAGTCGCTCGTGGTCCTCCAACACTGTAGCCATGCGTGTGTTCATGGCGTTGAACTGCTCCCGAAGCTCGTTGAACTGAGCTTGGTCCATTTGGCGAATGCTCCGCCGGGGCAGTGGGAAATCCGTAATGTGCCTGTACTCGGGTAAGCGCACGCAAATGCTATCGTAGTTGGGCGAATTAATCAGTCTAATTTGCCAGCAACCGCTTTGCAGCTTACGTGAGGGACTTACCCCCCCCAAAAAAAAAATCAACTTTGAAAACAGGTGAGCGAGGAAAGTGGCTCTGATCTGAATACCAGGTGTTATGAATTGGCAAGTAGAGTAGCGCGGAAATGAATAACGAGATGTTCACTAAATGAATAACGATACAAGGAATGGCAAGCCAAGATATATGTTGGGCTGAGAAAAACCCTTTAGGATCTTTTGCAGAGACTAAGTCCCAGCTGTAAAGACTTGAGACTTGGAGTAGTGCAGCGGAAGTTGAGACAGTTGAACCCTTGTACTAGTATGTGAGAACAAGTGATTGATTAAAGAAACAAGCATACAGCAATATATAGAAGATAAGAAAGCAGTTGCAGAGTACAGTTACAGGAACGGTTTATCGAGTCGCATAGCGACTCGATTGCCGCTTCGGTTACCATCCGTGATGCTGTAACGGTCAGTCGCAACCTCCAGTTGCGACCCTTTGAGTCCCAGACCCTTCGTGTTCTTTGTCCGCCCCCTCGTGTAACCTCCGTTGACTCGCGTACCCCTTGCAATCTTCCTCGAGTGTAGTGTTACACTTCAGAAAACGCTTAAGTCTTTTGATGTACTTTCAACACTCCCCTTCGTTTCTGGAGTGCTGACTTGTTCAGGTCCGATGACGTTTGTTTGTCCGGTCAGCACCATGCAGTAGTCGAATTTTGCCTTCGCCAATTTCTTCGTCAAATAGTCTGCGGCCATTTCTGTCGTCGGGCAGTAACTGAGTTGAAGTCTCCCCTTCGCGATTTCATCCTTGACGAAGAAGTACCGCAGGGCGATGTGCTTGGTTCGGTTGGCGAAGCCGTCCTTGTTTGCGATTTTGATCGCAGATTGGTTGTCGCAGAAGAGTGAGAAGGCGGGCAGGGTCGCGATCTTCGCTTCCTCGAGTAACTCTCGCAGGTAGAGTCCTTCCTTGGTCGCGGTACAAAGGGCGATGTACTCTGCTTCAGCAGAGGATAGTGCGATTAACTCCTGCTTGCTCGACTGCCAGGAGATAGTTCCGATGGGTTCTAGTCGGTAGATGTAGCCCGTCCTAGATCGTCGATTTTCCCTATCTCCCGCGTGGTCGGCGTCGACGTATCCGAGTAGTTGTACGGACGATGTTGTAGCTTTGCTGTAGGTAAGTCCGATCGTCGGCGTGGAGATGAAGTAGAGTAGTGCCCGGTTGAGCTCCTCGAGATCCTCCTGTTCCGGTTGCTTCAGATGCGTCGCCAGTTGACTTGCACTATAGGACAGGTCGGGTCGGCAGGTTACTGCTGCAAATAGTAGGCAGCCGAGCTTCTGTTGATACTCCTGGATTTGCTTCGCGGGGAGTTTTGCGGAGGCGCTGTTGTTGTTTCCGTAGCGGTAGGGAGTTGAGGCGGTAGCCGGTGTTAGTCCGAATTTCTTCGCGACAGTGCCTGCGTACTTTCCAGCGTGTGGGTAGAACGCCGAGTTGTCTTCGACGATATTTAGCCCCAAGTACTGGGTCACTGAGTCGGACACTGTGAGCGTCAGGTCCCCTTTCAGCTCCCCTTCGAACCGGGTGACGATGTCGGTGGTAGAACCGATGTAGAGCAGGTCGTCGACGTAGACGATGAGCAGAATGTAATCTCTTCCCTTCTGCAGTCGGTACATGCCTTGGTCATGTGGTAGCTGTAGGAAGCCGATTTTTACGAGACGGCTGTGAAGATGCTGCTGCCAGAGCCGCGGGGCTTGCTTGATCCCGTATAGGGATTTTGTCAGTCGGCATATTTTCGTGGGGTCGTCGATGAATCCGTGGGGTTGTTCGACGAAGATCTCAGCGTCCACAGGTGCGTATAGGAACGCATTCGCGACATCGATTTGGCGTAGTGGTAGTGTTTTCGTGGCCGCGACGGCGAGTAGGATGCGTAATGAGGTGTGACGGGAGACTGGAGCGAAGGTTTCTGTGTAGTCGGTTCCGTATCGTTGATCGAAGCCTCGTACGACCCATCGAGCTTTGAATCGTTCGATGGAGCCGTCTGAGTTGGTCTTGATGCGGTACACCCATTTCCCCGAGAGAACGTTCTTCCCGTTGATGCTCGTTGCAGGTACCAGTTTCCATGTTTCTCGGTCTTGCAGAGCTTTTAACTCCTTTTCCATTGCTTCCTTCCATTTTACCTTATGTTCCCCCCCCAGAGCCTGCGACAAGGTTGAAGGCTCACGCGCAGAAGGCGGCGGCGGATGCTGGACGGAGACCCAGAGGCCTAGAATCTGGAGTCCCGTTGGTGTGTGTCGAGGGGAATTGTCATTCCCGGAATAAGCTGCTTCGTCACCGTCTTCGGGGTCAGGTAAGGAATTGGGGCCGATGCGTTCCGAAATATTCGTGTCGACGGGGTGAGGTGTAGCGTAACCTTGGTCGGCGAAGTGGTAAAAGGTGTCGAGGTTGTTGCTATCGAGGGGATTATCTTCATCGAGTGGAACAGGTACGGAACAGAATGGGAGTGGCCCGGCAGCTTCCTGTTAGAATTAAGGACGGAGTCTAGGTGAACTTAGGAGCTAGAATTACTCAAAATATATATCCGAAATTCTGGACAGAAAAGTCGTCTTCACAAGAAACGACGTCGACAAAAACCTAGCCGTTGGAATGTCGCGAAACTTGGATATGTTGTAGCTCTTAATCTCAGCTACCGTTCCCAATTTGAATCACGTTGATTGATGAAGTATTCGCGACGCTATGGCTTTCGACGCACTAGGGGGTAAGCTGTAGGAGGAGAACTTAACTCAATCTCAAGAGTTCAATGAAAGTTCAAGAATCTCACAAGGAATTAGAGGAGCAAGAGAAATGTTGGGATAGAAGAGAGGGATGAGAGGGAAGGTCCCAAGAGAGTCCTCAACCAAGGAAACCCCCATAAGCACAAAGATTCCCTCCCTATAGGAACCCCAACTTTGACATTTGTCCCTTCCCAACCAATCCATCCAAGTTGGCCACCCTTGCCAACCTAGCTTGGTTGTTCCCAACCAATTTGCAGCTGTTACAGTAGAGTGACAAGTTTCCCCAACCCCAAAGGTCCCAACTCCATATAAAGTCACCCCACAACTTCACTTAGTAACCGCCGCAATTGTAACGCAAGCTCATGAACTTTGAATCTTCATAGCTTTCGCGTTCTTGCTCCGATTGAAGCGATTCTTGTTGCGTCGGAAAGATCTTCTCAAGATCTATTATCACAAATACCTGCTCAGACAGAATAACACAAAACACATTCCCAAACTCCAGAACACACCACACACAAATGCTTGCACATTCAAACCACACATGCAAGTTGAAAAAACATGGGATGGGAGGCAGACAGAATGTGATAGCATATGATGACATCACACAACAATCTCCCCCTCTGGCTGCCAACCATCATCGACCATACCACATCTCAAGCATGCATACTCAATGCACACTCATCCCAGCAAGCTTCATGCCCTTCCAATGATCCGCCTCCGCCAGACGCTTAGTGAAAATATCTGCTGCCTGCTGATGGGTCTTCACTATCTCCAGCCGCACCTCCTTATCAAGGAGTCTCCTCACCCAATGCCACTTAGGCCTTATGTGTTTTGTCAGCCCATGCAGACAAGCATTCTTGGCGAGCTTCACAGCGGACTCATTGTCACAAAACACAACTGTCGGCTTCTCCTGACCAACTCCCAACTCCTCCAACAAACGCCTCAGCCATACCACTTCCTTGGCCCCATGGTGTAAGGCCATGTACTCAGTCTCACATGAAGACAATCCCACCTCATTTTGCTTCTTGCTGCGCCAGCTCACAGCACCACCTCCTAGCAAGCACACATAACCCCCAATGCTGGTGCCATCCGCTTTCACTGAGTTGAAGCTAGCGTCAGTATAGCAACTCAAGAGCATCTCTCCACTCTTCACATCTGCAGCACCTCTCTGCAACCGCTGCCTCACTCCACTGTACTCCAATCCCACTGATGCCGTAGCACTCACATAGCGGACCAACCTCTTGGCCGCTTCCAGCTGCTCATGACTAGGGCGTGAGACCACACTAGCCAACCGTGATGTAGCAAATGCAATGTCAGGCCGTGTATGATTTGCAGCATAATTCAGCGACCCAACCATCGAATGAAACAGCTTCCTGTCACTATCACCCACTACCTCCTCATCAGCACATGGCTCCACAGTGAACCCCGAAGGTAGTGGTGTTGCTGGCTTTCCCCCATCTTGCAGCCCATACTTCTCAGCCAGCCCCTCACAGTACTTCCTCTGGTGCAACCTCAGCACACCCTTTTCCACATCTCTCTCCACGTGCATCCCCAAGTAGTACTTCACCTCACCCATCTTGGAGCACTTGAACTGCATCTCCAGCATCTGCTCTGCGCTGTCCAGCAAAGCAGTGGATGCAGAAAAGAGAAGGATATCATCCACATACACCAAGAGCATGAGGATTTCATCCTTCTCCTGCAGCAGGAACAGGCTGGGGTCACACTCACTCTTCTTGAAACCCCCAGCCAACAGCGCCTCCTCCAACTTGTGATACCATGCACGAGGCGCCTGCTTAAGGCCATAGATGGCCTTCTTCAGCCTGCAGACCCTGCCGCTCCCGTCATCCAGCCCCTCTGGCTGCTTCATGTACACCTCCTCCATAATGATCCCATTCAGAAAGGCAGTCACAATATCCATCTGCCGAATCTTCCATCCCAGGAGTGCAGCTATCGCCAACAGCACCCTCAGTGTTGTTCCTTTCCCCACAGGAGCAAACACCTCATCATAGTCCTTCCCCTTTGTCTGCTGAAACCCCCGTGCCACAAGCCTAGACTTGTAGCGGGTCAGCTCCCCTTCAGGTCCATACTTGTGCCTGTAGATCATCTTGGAAGTGATTGCCTTCTTTCCAGGAGGCAAGTCACACAGGTCCCATGTCTCGTTCTCAATTAGGGACCCGAACTCCTCATCCTCACTCGCCTTCCACTTCTCCCCATTTGGTCCATTCAAGGCCTCTTCTCGAGTCTTGGGCTCAGGGATTGGTGCCCAGTAGCAGTGAGCGATCTCATCTTCCTCAATCTGCTCAACCACACTCCCAGCCTGCACCACATTCGGCTTGCCTCTTCCCCCATAGGTCAGCCTCACTGGAGGGCGCACATCCCTCCTAGGACGCTCAGGCGGGTGTGGAACTCGAGGTGGAGACTCATGCTGCTGCTGCTGCTGCTGCTCTACTTCAGCTGCTCCCCCTTCCTCAGTCACCCCAGACATCTCCTCCTCTGACACTGCAACCTCCACCTGTCTTGAAGGCTGCTGCAACTCATCTGCCTCCACAATGAGTGGTGTAGATGGAAGCTTCTGTTGCTGCTGCTTCCATTCCTTATAGTACAGGGACTCAAGAAACTTCACATCCCTTGACACTGTCAGCTTCTGGGTGGTCAGGTCCCATAGCAGCCACCCCTTGTGATCCTTTGCAATCCCCAAGTGCACACCCCATCTTCCAGAAGCCTCCAACTTCCCCCTTTTCTCCTTGGGCACATGAAACACCACCATGCACCCAACTGCCCTCAGCATGTTCACCGCTGGAGCACTCCCATACCACTTGGCATATGGGATCCACTCCTTATCTCCAACTGTAGCCAGCACCCTATTCTTCACAAGGGCGACCTGCCTCAGTGCAGACACCCAAAACGGATCAGGCAGCCCTGCACGCCCAAGGAGAGTGCGTGCCCCCTCCTGCAGGGTCCTGTTGAACCTCTCAGCCACGCCATTCTGCTGCGGGTTGTAGGGCACTGTCAGTTGATGCTGGATCCCCTTCCTCTTCAACTCCCCCTCAAAATCAGCTCCAATGAACTCCCCACCATTGTCACTACGGATCACCTTCACCTTGTGTCCGCATTCCCTCTGAGCTCTCGGCATCCACTCCTTAAGGACAGCCGCTGCCACCTCCCCCTTGCTCTTCAAAGGGTAAACCCACACTGCCCAAGTGTGGTCATCCACAATTGTCAAGAAATAGCGGCTGCCTGAGAGGGAAGGGGCTCTTGTGGGCCCCACCACATCCATGTGCACAAGTGCAAGTGGGGTCTTGGATGGTCCAGTTGCACTGTTGAAGGGGAACTTGGAGAACTTGGTCTCCAAGCATGTAGGGCAGCTCCCAATCTCCTTCACTTCCCCTTTCACCTCCAAGCCCTTCAGGCTCCCATTCTTCACCAACTTCTGCAGCATAGGGAAGTTCACATGACACAGCCTCTCATGCCATGTCTCCCAATCGGCCTCTCCACTCCTTGATGAAGCCTTAGCCCATGCCGCACTCGCATCCACACCAGCAAGCACCTCACCATGTGTCTGCTGCTGCTGCACTTTCTTGACTGCTTCCAGGACCCCATCAGTTGGTGCAGTTGCATCTCCTCCTGCTGTTGCCTTTGCCGCTGCTGCCGTTGCTGCTGTTGGAGTCTTCCCATTCCATGGGATGATGGGCAGCTGCCACAGGTCCTTGATGCAGCTGGTCTCCTCTTCCAGACTCCACAGCACCTTCTTCCCAAGCTTAGCACGGCAGCTGGTTGGTCCAAAGGTCACTTCGGCCTTACTCTTCTGCAGTCGCCGCACAGAGAGAAGGTTAGCAGACAAGCCTTTAACCAGCAGAACATTCCCAAGCCCCACAAGCTCCCCATTAGCTCCCTTAACCTTGGCATTCCCAACACCAATCACGGGGAGCAAAGCACCTGACGCTGCTGCCACATACTTAATCTTCCCAGGGGGTTTTACCTCATCAAGCAAATCTGCCCGTGGAGTCATGTGACTGGTGCAACCCGAATCAATCACCCAGTGCGTGAGAGGGTGCATCACAACCTTTCCCACAGATCCCACATCACCCTCATGCCCATGCACATCCTCAACCATAACAAACAAACCAGGATAGGCATTACCTTGTGCACCTTCACCTTGTGCACCTGAGCCTTGCACAGCGCCACCTTGTGCGCGTTCACCACTGGGCGGCTTCATGCCTGGAGGTGCCCATCCCTCCAGCCTGCTGAAGCACTTGAACCAAGGATGCCCAACCTTCTTGCAGTACCAGCACGTGCCCTCCATTCTGGTACTCCCCCTGCCACTAGAGCTCCCATGCCCCTCATTATAGTCACCTCGGCCTCTACCTCTGCCAAAGCTCCTCCCACGGCCTCGGCCTTTCCAACCCCCTCTTCCTCTGCTGCGCCCTGCAGCTCCATACCCCTCAGCAGTCTTAGTGGCAGCACCGCCTCCCACATGGCGTCTGCGGAAGTCCTCCTGCAGAATCTGCTGCCTTAGCCACTCAGGTGTCCATTGATCTTGCTGAGAGTTGAGGGTGGGGATGAGGTTGTCCCAAGAGTTGTCCAACACCGAGATGATCTTGGTGCACTGCTGCAGCTGAGATACACTGCTGCCCGCTGCTGCCATCCTTGCATAGGTGTCCTTGATCTTGTCAAGGACCGGCTTCACATCGTCCCCTGGTCGCATGGAGATGGCAGCAAGTTCCTTCTCGAGCACGATCACCATCGGGAGAGTGTTGGGCTGAACCACATCACGTAGTAGTTTCCACGCCCTTGGACCCGAATCATCCGCTTCCACAAGATCCTTGATGTGCTCGAACATCTCCTTGTTGACCGATTGAAGAATGAGGTCGAAAAGCACCGCGCTTTTCTCAATCCACCGTTCACGTGCTTCGCCTTCTTCCGGCATCTTCTCTTCCCCAACAGCAATCTTCAGTAGCTTGTAGCGTTTGAAGGCACTCCTCATCCGTCCGCTCCATTCCTCATAGTTGGAGCCATCCAAAGCTTCAACCTTTGATGGCGGCGGCTCACTTGTCTTCTCAGGTACAGCTCCTCTTCCATTAGCATCTCCTCCTCTCTCATTCATCTTCTCCTTGAGAAATGACGAATTTCAGCTCCCCTTTGCTGTCCACACTCAGCTCCCTCGATATTTTCACAAGTGTCGGCGTCCACGAAATTTCGGCAGAGTTTCCCCTTAGCGGAAGACACATCCAACCTTTAGAACACCACTTAGGCACACCCACAGGCCATGGTGGGTCTAGAAGGGTCTTCAAACTTCTGTAGACTCCTCTCAATGTCCTTAATATTGCTCTGATACCACTTGTTAGAATTAAGGACGGAGTCTAGGTGAACTTAGGAGCTAGAATTACTCAAAATATATATCCGAAATTCTGGACAGAAAAGTCGTCTTCACAAGAAACGACGTCGACAAAAACCTAGCCGTTGGAATGTCGCGAAACTTGGATATGTTGTAGCTCTTAATCTCAGCTACCGTTCCCAATTTGAATCACGTTGATTGATGAAGTATTCGCGACGCTATGGCTTTCGACGCACTAGGGGGTAAGCTGTAGGAGGAGAACTTAACTCAATCTCAAGAGTTCAATGAAAGTTCAAGAATCTCACAAGGAATTAGAGGAGCAAGAGAAATGTTGGGATAGAAGAGAGGGATGAGAGGGAAGGTCCCAAGAGAGTCCTCAACCAAGGAAACCCCCATAAGCACAAAGATTCCCTCCCTATAGGAACCCCAACTTTGACATTTGTCCCTTCCCAACCAATCCATCCAAGTTGGCCACCCTTGCCAACCTAGCTTGGTTGTTCCCAACCAATTTGCAGCTGTTACAGTAGAGTGACAAGTTTCCCCAACCCCAAAGGTCCCAACTCCATATAAAGTCACCCCACAACTTCACTTAGTAACCGCCGCAATTGTAACGCAAGCTCATGAACTTTGAATCTTCATAGCTTTCGCGTTCTTGCTCCGATTGAAGCGATTCTTGTTGCGTCGGAAAGATCTTCTCAAGATCTATTATCACAAATACCTGCTCAGACAGAATAACACAAAACACATTCCCAAACTCCAGAACACACCACACACAAATGCTTGCACATTCAAACCACACATGCAAGTTGAAAAAACATGGGATGGGAGGCAGACAGAATGTGATAGCATATGATGACATCACACAACACTTCCGAGGCTCCAGGTACGTCTTCTTCTGCTGCGTCAGCTTCGGCAGCACGATCGGCAAAGGAACGAAGTCCCGAGAGGCCGTCGGTGGGGTCTTGTGTGTTGGCAAGGTTGTCCAGGTAATGCTGCAGAGTCAGTCGTTCGTAGAAGATAACGTCTCGTGATGCCACCGTGTTTTTGTCTTGTATGTCGAGAATTTTCCACGCGTGAAAATGTTTCGCGATGCCGAGGTGGAGTCCCCACCGAGCTCGTTGTGTGAAGCGTCCTGCTCGGGCTGTGTGGGGTCTGTACTGTACCATGCAGCCAAAGACTCTGAGTAATTTTGTGCTGCCCCTTTTTCTTGTCCACAGCAGGTGCGGTGATGCGTTGTTGGGAAGTGATGACGAGGACAGCAGGTTGTGCAGGTGAACAGCATGTGTCATCGCGTCTGGCCACAGTGTGGTTGGCAGTCGCATCCCCTGAAGCAGTTTTCGCAGCGTCGTCTGCAAGGTCCGATTCATGCGTTCTGCTACCCCCTGCTGTTGGTGAGCATAGGGCAGGGACACCAGGCGTCTGATTCCCCTTTCCGCCAGATAGGTCCTGAAGCGTTGTGACTGGTATTCCAGTGCACCGTCTGACTGGAAGCTCTTGAGTTTGAGTCCTGATTCTCGTTCGGCGATGGGGAGCCATGTTGTGAAGGCTTCGAAGGCTTGGTCGCGCGTTTTGAGATTGAAGTGCCAGACATATCTGGTTGCGGCGTCGATGAAAGTGATGACGTAGTTAAAGTCGGCTTCTGCGTCGTCTCGAGGCATGTTTAAAATATCGCTGTAGACTTTTTCCATCGGAGCGTAAGTAGGTGCGCTTGGGTTGTGATGGGATGAAAAAGGTTGATGAGGAAGATCTGCTTCGGGGCATGTGAAGCACCGTGCGCGTGGTCGTCGAAGTTCTTGACCGCTCGTCGTCAGAAGGGCGTTGCGTTCTAACACCTCTGCTTGGATTGTTTGAAGTATTGTGCTGTTTGCAGGGTGTCCGAGGCGTTGGTGCCAGATGTCGTCGGGAGCACGGTGACCGGGCGAGCGGTGGTAGATGTCGGCGTTGGAGAAGAACGCGACGACCGAGGCGGGACTTCGACAAGCTTCTCGTGTGGCGGGCATAAGTTGGTCTGCTTCCGTTGGCGGTCCTCGTGTTGATGGTGGTGGTACTCGGCTGGGTCCTGCTGCCGATACTGCAGGTGATGGTTTTGTTGGGACACTTGCGGGTACTTGTCTTTCTTGTCTGATAACTGCTAATGCTCGTGTTCTCTCTGCTGCAGGTATGGTGTTGGAGTGCCAGAAGCCGTCACTGTCGAAGTCGGGATCAAGATCCGGCGGGTGAGTCCAGGCGGCGAACGATACGATACCGTCGCTGTCGGCAGTGCCGCGGTCGGGGACGAAGTCCAACACGAAGACGCCGGACTTCAAGAGGGCACGACCGATGAAGAGGCCGCCCTTCCCGTGGTAAAGCCGGAACTCGTTGGAGTAAGAGTCGCACTCCAGGTGAATCCCTTTGGCCATTAGTTGGCTTACGCTCAGTAGATTGTATCCCAGGTTGTCGACAATGAGCACTTTGTTGAGCTGCAGTATTACGTTTGTTTCCATGGATTGTAGCTGAACCACGCCTTGTCTGTTTGTCTTCAGGTTTTCGTTGTTGGCGACTGTGATGACGACGTCGCGGTTGAGTCGTTTCTCCTGTTGCACGAAGCGTCCCGAGGAGCACATGTGCTGACCGCAGCAACTGTCCAAGAACCAGGTGTTCCGCCCGGTGGGTTCGGCGTTAGCGACTGCAGCGTATGTCGGGTTGACCTGAAGTCCTTGCGAGCGCGGCGGCGGGAATTCCTCTTCGTCTGGTGCGTAAGTGGGTGGTGAAGCGGGTGCGCAGTTGTCGATGTGTACCATGCAGTTGATGATGTTGGGTGTTTGTTGTGCAGATGTTGAAGAGCGCCTTGGAGGACTTGCTTGAGTGGAAGCGACTTGTGGGTCTGCTGCACGGTAAACGCGAGGGCGGTTGCAGTTGACCTTGGAGTGCCCGGAAGTCTGACAGTTGTGGCAGAACGGCGGCACGATGGTGAGTCCTCGGTTGTCGCGTTGATCTTGCTTGCTGCGTCGGTTGTAGTTGTTGTCATTTCTTCTTTGAGTGTAGAAGACTAACTGCTGTTGCTTCCTTGGTTGTCTTTCCTCGAACAGATCCATCTCCTGTTGTTCAGCGTGAAGCTCGGCGCAGAGGTGCATCTCCGAAATTCTTCCGTGGGCTCGAAGAAGTGATCGTGTGGTTCTCCATTCTGGCCCGAGCCCGGCGAGGACAAGTGTCACGAAGCTTTCTTCAGTGATCGTTCCTCCGCACCGAAGCAGGCGGTCGCGGAGGGTCTGGCAGCGACTCATATACTGCATCGCCTTTTCCCCGGTCTTCATCTGTATTGTTGTCAGCTGTTGCATGAGTCTGCTTTGTGTCACGCTGTCGTTTGCTTGGTAAAGGCATTTGAGGTGGTGCCATGCGAGCTCCGCGGAGTTTCCATAACTCCGATACGTTCTGATGCTCTGCTGCTCTTGTGGTGACAGGTTTCTCAGGAGTACCGTGTACGCCAGCAGCGACTGATACGTGAAGATCTCTTGTTCCTTCCCAGTGCCGTTGCTTGGGAATGGCAGGGACCCGTTGAAGTATCCCAGAAGATGCGCGGCCTCCATCAGCAGCTCGAACTCGAAGCTCCAGGTAAAGAAGTCGTGTCCGTTGAACGGTGAGGATGTCTGAAGTTTGATCACGTGTGAGAACTGCGCCTGTAAACTTAAGATTTCATTCGGTGTTTGTTGTGAAGCAGCTGCTGTTGGCTGGGCACGGGGCGGCATGAATTCGAACGTCCCCGGCGAAGAATGATAAGGCGCAAAGGTAGGCGCTTGATTGTGTCGCCCGAAGGATGAGTTGTCGAGGCTCATCGGCGCTAATCCCATATTCCCTCCATTGCTCTGTGTTGAGTGCGCAGGTGTCCTTGTCTGCTGCTGCTGATCGAAGTGTGACATGAAGCTGAAGAATCTCTCCATGAGATTCGGGTCCACACTTGAAGAGGGAGACGGGGTCACCATCTCTGGTACTCTTCCCGTTGTTTCTTGAGCAGTCCCGGTCTCTGTCTGCAGTCCTGAGGTGTGCAGACCAGAGTTGCCGTGTTGAGTTTCTTGGGCGCTGGGTGAGCCCGTAGAGACTTTCTTGCCCTTGTTGTCCATGTCTTGTAATCAATGAAGTCGTTGAATTGAGTTGAGTTGCAGGTTGTTGATAGGACGTAGTTGCTGGGAGTTTGGTCTCTGACCAGCTCTCATACCATGTTGGGCTGAGAAAAACCCTTTAGGATCTTTTGCAGAGACTAAGTCCCAGCTGTAAAGACTTGAGACTTGGAGTAGTGCAGCGGAAGTTGAGACAGTTGAACCCTTGTACTAGTATGTGAGAACAAGTGATTGATTAAAGAAACAAGCATACAGCAATATATAGAAGATAAGAAAGCAGTTGCAGAGTACAGTTACAGGAACGGTTTATCGAGTCGCATAGCGACTCGATTGCCGCTTCGGTTACCATCCGTGATGCTGTAACGGTCAGTCGCAACCTCCAGTTGCGACCCTTTGAGTCCCAGACCCTTCGTGTTCTTTGTCCGCCCCCTCGTGTAACCTCCGTTGACTCGCGTACCCCTTGCAATCTTCCTCGAGTGTAGTGTTACACTTCAGAAAACGCTTAAGTCTTTTGATGTACTTTCAACAATATAGAACCACCAGAGCTAGTCTAACCATGCGATGGAAAGGTTCAGGAAAGAGATCGAAGGGCCGCGAAGTGACGGAGCGAGGTTCGGAGAACTCCCGAAGGTCGAACTAGAAGGTCTGGAACAGTCCTGAGGCTTCAGGTGTGTTGGAGCGTACGCGATTGCAGTAGCGCTCGGTAAGGAATGAAAAATTCCTTACAGATACCATGTCAGCATGAAAGAATGATCAATACAAGTGTGAACCACGGTGATATCGTGTTTGGGTTGTACTCTCTAAGAACGTACATCTATCTAGCCTATAACGTCTATATAGCAACATATGTATAAGTTGACAGTAACAGTCTACAACAATAGAACATTATAAAAAAACCCTGTTAGGTTGTACTAAAAGCCAATAATATGTACAACACGCTACTATTACCTACTAAAGTAAGCCACGCTGCAAAGATCCCAGTTTGCTATCCCTAGTCTCTATGGGGTTTTACGTGGCTTGAAACAGTCACCCACAACCACTGCAGCTGCAGTGGCGTTAGTCAAGTCACAGGCAGATCTAGGACACTCCTCGTGTCCACGGCCTAGGAGCAGCGCCTCTTATCATGGCATCCTGCACCGGCATGCTTCTACAGCTGTCAACAGGCAATTTGACAACTCCATCACCCATGTGCAGGAGTGCAGGCACGTGTGGCGGTTACTGCGGGGCAGAGTCAGAGGAAGAGAGGGCGCATGATACGGTGCAGGGCAGCGGAAGGCATCTGGCGTATGAGGGCGAGAGGAGGGGCTTTCATGGGCGCGCCTGGGCAGACGGGGGGCCCTTGGGGGCGCGGCGAGGTGGGAGGGGTGGTGGCGCCTGCAGCACAAACACGGCAGAGAGTTGGGAAGTGTTAAAAGGCAAGTGCGAAGCAGAAACGAGTCCTGCGTTGGCACTGATACCAAAGACGTGGGTTGGGGCGACCAGGTGCGAGGCGGTGAGCAGTACCTGCATCCCAGGGGCTGCTGAGCGCGCCCTCGTGCGGGCCTGGCGTGGGGACTTGCGCGCACTCGCTGTCCACCGCGGACGAACACGGCGACCACGCGCCCTCGCGCGGGCTAGACGAGTCGTCGCGGCGTGCGGCGTCCATGCACGAGAGGCCCAGGAGCAAGGGCGACGGCAGAGGGCGCAGGAGCGTGAGGTGCCGCCAGTACTCCTCGCGAACCACACCCGCCACCGTCTCCGGGTCGTCGCGCGCCATGGAAGCCGAGCGCGCGCCCTCGTCGCGCGCAGCCGCCTCCACGGACTCGCCGAACAGCCGCCGCTTGCACGCGCGCTTCGCGGACGGCGGGGACGGCGAGCACGGCGACGTGCAGCGGTCGGAGCGCTTAAGGAAGTGATGCGGGCGTCGGAACGAGTCGGCACACGACGCCGCGGCGGGCGTGGCTGCGCGGTGAGCGGCGGGGGAGTCCACTGGCGACTCTGAGGCACGCGGTTCCGAGGCGGGCGACATGGCCTGGCGGGAGCACGGCGAGCGGAGGGAGAACGCAAGAAAAGTAGGCGGTTGAGAGGAGCGAACGAGGCAAGAGTGGACCGACGCGACGATTGGAAGGACAGACAAGGGAGAACAAGGGAAGAAGAGGGTACCAGGGAGGACGTCATGCTGGTGCGATGCTGAGCGGTGCGTGCAGAAGCGGCAGCGGGCGATGATCCGGCGAGAGCTGGAGATGAGTGGCTGCAGGACTGCGATTCACGATCTGGATCGCGCGGAATACGCACGAGACGATGGCAGGGAGAAGCAGCGGGAAACAGGCTTCAATAAAGGTGAACCGAGCGAAGGAGAGCATCCGGACGCCCATGAATAGTGCAGCGAGCAGCGCGCGCACGAATCGATAAAAGGGCAGAGCGAGGCTGGCTCTTAGGCGACGCTGCACGGGATGAGGGGTGCGAGGGCATGCAGGGGCAGTGAGTGAGGAGGTTGAGAGACGCACCTGGCGAGGAGCAATCGATGGCCGAGTGCATGGCGCTGCTGGGCGATGGGTGCGCGCTGCCACGCGATGGTGGGCGGGCGACCTTCATTGCGCACGGCGTGGCGAGACACGCATGCACGGCGTGGCGGAATCGGCGGTCGCAATTGGTTAAGAGACGGCTCTGTGGTCCCTGAGAGAAGCCTGACTGATGTTACCGGGGCAACGGGCGAATGTGTGGCGCGCCTTGTGGAATCTGCTTTGTGCTGACCTGGGCTGGGTGGTGTTGTCGAGGTTGAGTCGAGAGACCCAAGGACGCGAGGCAGTTGAGTTGAGGGATGATGTGGCGTCGCCCTGGTTTATGTCGGGTCGAGGGGGTTTCGCGTGGGGCAGAGCCAGCAGCACTGAAGTGGTTCCCCGGTTGTTGGAGGTTGAGGGGTCTCAAGGCAAGTTTTGGAGGGAAAACAACATCACGCGACCGACAGCGAGGCGAAGCGGGGCGGGAAGTTCCAGAGGGCCCAAGCGTCATGCTGACGAGCAGGGCAAACTACTCTCGGAGGAAAACCCTAACGCTTTCTGTTTCGAGGGAAACAAATGACGCGTGGAACAACCTCCTCCAACCACCACATCTTCCCTCCAGTATGACGTGTGCATGGCCCAGGGTAAGCTCCAGGCAGCAACCCAATGCAGGCTTGGTGGCCCCTGAAGCTGTCAGAGACAGGAAAAGGTCCTCTGGGAGGGAAGAGAACCGGCGCGGTCAAAGCGTCCGGTCTGATGGAACAAGGTCCTGTCGTGAAAAAGCCCCCGCGAATAAAACACTCTGTAGGTGCAAATCCTGGATCGTTTTCGAGAGGCCCACTGAGTAGTGACAGCAAAGCAGTTCGCGTGACAGGCAAAATGTCTGACACCAACAGCTATGCGGTTCGTGCTGCACTGGAACTGCGCAACTCACTAGTGCATACATATTCCCAGCCGTGCAAAGACGTTCACTTACTGAAATGAATTAGCAAACAAAGTCACTTATGGTTTCTCCTCATTTCATCAATTAGGGCGTGTGAGTATTTGGGTTGCGTAGCAACCCTATAAAATCGGTTTCACATTTCGGAGCACTGCTATGAGCTTTTTTGTGTGTGTATTTTACTGTTCAATGCAACTCCAAAATGTGAATTCAAATATCTAACTGTCAAACATACTTGTATATGTTATAATAGACTAGATAGGTGCATGCTCTTAGAGGGTACAACCACGTGAACAAACTCAACCTGTATGCCTCATTCTAGTTAACTTTTTTACTCTGAGATGGTATCACGCGCTAGGTTAGGTCCTCCCCGTCCACCCGCGCTTCCGCTCTCATCCTAGTCCTAGCTGCCCGCTCCTAGCCACCCCTTCGCGCCCCGCTGGCCCCGTGCGCCCCTCCGGCCCGTTAGCGCCCTTCGGGCCCCGTTAGTGCCCCGTCGGCCCCGTGCGCCCCCTCTGGCCCGTTAGCGCCCTGCCCGTCTGTAAGCGCCCCGTTAGCGCCCCGTCGGGCCACCCTCTGGCCCGTTAGCGCACCATTAACGCCCCGTCGGCCCCCTCTGGCCCGTTAGCGCCCCGTTAGCGCCCCGTCGGCCCCCTCTGGCCTGTTAGCGCCCGTCAGCCCCGTTAGCGCCCCGTTAGCGCCCTGTTGCCCCCGTGCGCCCCCTCTGGCCCTGCTCGCCCCGCCGGCCCGTTGGCACCCCGCCGGCCCGTCAGCGCCCCGTCGGCCCCGTGTGCCCCTCTGGCCCTACTCGCCTCGCCGGCCTATTAGCGCCCCGCCGGCCCGTTAGCGCCCCGCCGGCCCGTTAGCGCCCCGCCGGCCTGTTAGCGCCCCGCCGGCCCGTTAGCGCCCTGCCGGCCCGTTAGCGCCCCGCCGGCCCATTAGCGCTCCGCCCGCCCGTTAGTGCCTTGACTGGCCCGTTCGCGCCCCGTCGGCCCCGCGCGCCCCTCTGGCCCGGCTCGCCCCGTCGGCCTGTTAGCGCCCCGCCGGCCCCGTTGGCGCCCAACCAGCCCCGCACGCACCCCGTCGGCCCCGTACACCCTGTCGGCCCTTGCCAGCCGGTCGGCCAGCCAGCCGCCCAGCCAGCCAGCTCCAGCCTCGCCGGGCCCCCCTTCAGCAACCGCCCGCCAGACCGTCGAGTCCCAGCGCCAACCCACCGGCTCTGGCTCCCTTCAGCGCCGGCTTCCCTGCCGGTTGTATCCACCGCTCTCCACCCCTCTCCACCGCACTCCACCGCTCTTCACCACTTCCTCCACCTGTCCTCTTCACTCTGTCAATGGCCATTAGCAGCTGCAGCAGGGGCTAAGGCGGAGTCACAGCTCCGTCTAGACACAGAGGGTTGGGCGCTCGACTTTGAGGCGTGGCTCGTCGACCTTCGGCGTCACCTTACAGGTCAGCGCCAGGATGGTCACTCCCTGGCTGTTCATGTCAATGACCAACTTCCCCGCCCCCCTGCCCATGCTGCCCTCCCTGATGCCCCCACCACTGCTGAACGTGAGGCCTTTTCCGCTGCTGCGCTTGATCGTGCCGTCTGGGACTCGCGCGACGACGTCGCCCAGCTTGCTATCAGCCGTGCGCTCCCGCACTCTTAGTGTCCTCGCTTTACCATTGTAGAGAACGCCCAGGCCTTCTTAGATGCTCTCATTGCGCGCAATTCCACCCCCGTAACTGCCTCTGCTAGTCGCGTGATCCTTTTCATGCTGTTCCTGAACTTGCGTCCTTCCCCATTGTCACGGACTTTGCCACACACCTCCGTGCGCTTGAGACGAGCTACCGCGCTGCTAGCACTGAGGTACAACTCACACCCTTCCCACCGCCGTTCTGCGCTACCCTTTATCTCATCGCCACGCACCTCCCTGACCGCCTAGCCACAGCCCGCGACCACTTCCTTAGTCAGCACCCGTGTGACCTCACTCTCACCGCCTTTGTCACTGCCTTGTCTGAGATAGAGACCCGTCAACGCAGTATTGCTCAGTCTAGCGGTACTGCGGCGGTACCTATCTTTCAGGGCTGTGCTCCCTCCCAGTGCAATTACTCTGACGTCTCTGCTGCTGTTGCTAAGACCGCTACTGCGGCCTCAGCGTAGAAGCGTCCGGTTAAGGCTCGCCGCCCCAAAGGGGGGCGTGGTTGGGAGAAGGGGGGTGGCGGTGGGGAGGGTGGCAGCGGTGAGGGCGGGGACAGTGGTTCAGACGAGGGGACTGTGGCTGGTGCCCCGGAGCAGCCGCAGCAGCAGATGCAGCCTCAGCAGCAGCAGTAGCAGACTCAGTAGCCGCAGCAGCCACAGCCGCCGCCGCAGTTGGCGCAGCAGCAGCAGTCGCCGTGGGGACCCCGCCGCCATGGTGGACTTGCGGTGCTAGCGACGGTGGTCGTGGGGGGGGGAGCGCAGCTCGGTGTCGGGTGGCAGCTCCAGCACGGTCACCTACCAGTACCAGCTTCAGACCGGCCCTCGCCGTGGCACTGTCTGCCTTCGCCCTGGCCACACCGCCGACCGCTGCTACCGCCGCCTCGACGACCTGTTCTGCCACCGCTTCGGTCCTGCATCGGACCCTCTGGACTGGTACTCCCTGGCTCACCGTCGTGTGCCGGTCTTTGAGCTTGACATGGATCAGATTAGGAATGCTACAGTGGTGGAAAAATTGCCCGGATGTGTAGCACTTTGAAACTTATCGATATGCAACACTTGTTTCGAAAATAGTAACATCATTTTTTTCTCGTCCTGTTACAAGGTTGTCGAGTTCTGCTTCAACCGTATCTTGCTTGGCGCGATTGTGACACAATCGAAAAGCGGGGTTGAGATTTACTCCTCGGCTGTCGTTCTGGACAGTTCATACCGAGCGACGTTCAAGATCTATTTTCGCCCGTCACTCGGTGTGCACATCGTCTCGCGCAACAGCTGCTAGTCTAGGAGTTAGTCATGAAGCGAACCTACGACCGCATCGCCATGAAGCCGGTAGATGACAAGAAGCGCGGGCGAATCATAAGCATGTTGCGTGTAGGGCATTCAACTAGGAAAATAGCCAAAGTTCTTGGCATAGGCAAGAGCACCGTGCATGATTACGGTCTGAAAGTGATTGCCGAGACTAGTCGCGATAAGGTGCGACCCACAATGCCCACGGCCGGCCGCCCCCGCTTAATCACAACCCGACTCCAGCGCGGAATAGTACGGGCGATTACAAGCGGCGAGGCGAAAAGCAGTATATACGCGGCAAAGATGTTGAAGGAGAAGCACGATCTGGCTGTAGACTCGAAGACGGTCAGGAACTCGTTACGATCCACGGGCTTGATCGCCGTTCAGCAGCCCAAGAAACCCAGGCTCTCACCGAAAAACATACGTGATCGTCTCGATTTCGTGAGGGCGCATGCCGACTGGACGCTGGAGGACTGGAAGCGGGTGATTTGGTCTGATGAGACTAAGATAAACAGATTCTGCTCCGACGGACGTGCGTACGCCTGGATTCGCGAGGGCACCAGCCTCCAGAGCCATCAAGTCCAACAGACAGTTAAGCATGGGGGCGGTTCTGTGATGGTGTGGGGTTGCATGACGTATGAAGGGGCGGGGTTCATGTGCAAGATAGATGGTTGGATGGATGGGCCGCTGTATCGCAGCATCTTGCAAGATGAGCTAAAACAGACCATCGATTTTTTCAAGCTCCCCCCCTCAGAGGTCATTTTCCAGCACGACAATGATCCCAAGACTGGCCTGGGGAGCAGGAGTACGCGGTGCTGGAATGGCCCTCGTCCTCCCCGGACCTTAACCCGATAGAGCACCTGTGGGCACATTTGAAAAGGCAGCTGGCGAAGTACGAAAAGCCACCAAGTGGAATGCTGGAGCTGTGGGAGAGGGTGCAGGAGGAATGGGACAAGATACCGGCAGAGGTGTGTTCAAACCTCATCGACAGTATGCTTAGGAGGATCAAGGCAGTGATTCGCGCAAAGGGACGGTGGACTAGGTACTAGTTTTTCAAGAGTCTAGTTTGCTGCCTGTGCTCGGTACAAATTGTCAAGATGTGCTCTTATGATATGCTTAGGTGTTTATGGACGATATATTGTACTACTCTGGTGTTTGTCAACTTGAATGAGTGCTCTTAGTGATCTTCTCAACGTGTATGCACACCATAAATTAAGGCTTAATGTTTACGCCGCTGCACTCATCAAAATGCCAAAAGAGACTGACCATGTGGACATTTTTTTCCGTCACTTTATGTCTGTCATGTATTCTTGTGACTCTAGTGTGATTGGATCCTATTACCCAGTATTGCCTAGCGTAGGAGTGTCCACGGTGTGTAGTCTAAGCTCCCCTGCTGTGTTAGGCGTAAGATCCCCTAACTTGTTT